GTGCCAATCCTCCTCTTTTTGCTGAGGAAGACCGGCCCTGAGCTAACATCTATTGCCAATCCTTTTCCTTTTTTTCCCCAAAGCCCCAGTAGATAGTTGTATGTTGTAGTTGCACATCCTTCTAGTTGCTGTATGTGGGATGCTTGCCTCAGCATGGCCCAACAAGCAGTGCGTCGGTGCGCGCCTGGGGATCCAAACCCCAAACCCAGGCCGCCAGTAGTGGAGCACACGCACTTAACCGCTAAGCCACGGGGTGGGCCCCACAAGACGTCTTTTAACCCTTTGTTGAAATGAAATCTAAGAAGCTCAAATGTGTAAAATCCACTAAAGCAGAGATACTTGACTGAAGGAGGCATAGGTCTGGAGCGCCCGTTTCTCTCTAGTATATGCCTTCACCTCTTCTGACACTTTATATAGGAACTCTATGGAATAGAGTTTGAAAGACAATCTTAGAACATCACTTAGTAGGACAGTAGGGAAGAGATTCAGGCATCAGATGGGGTAGATGACTATAAATATCTAGTCCAGCTTTAGGATTATGTGATTTAAGTATTAACTGAACACCTACTTGTGTGTGTACACTCTATTGGGTACTGTAAGTTGGGTAATATGTGGCCCTATCTCTAGCCTCACAGAGATCACATTCTCGATTGGAATCATGAGAGATATTTGTACAATAATTAGAAAACAGTGAAATTCTGCATAGAGTGATGCAATTGTTCCTCAGAACTTTATTTACTCTTAAGTACCTCCTTACTGACCATGGCTTATCTTCGTGTCATTTAAAAGAATGCTATCCTTCTTGACCTTTTCATTGATTTTTCTTTTCATCCTTTCAATTAACATCAGATGTACCTGTCCAATACTTCTGTATCTTTTTTTCTTTTGTCACTTTCTGCATAATGCTTGATTATATATACTTCATGGAAATGGATTTGGGCTAAAGTGAGGAACTGAAGGTGCATTTTTTTAAAGCAAAATTAATAAAAAAACAAACAAACCCAGTGCTGTTTCCTCATTCCCTCTGCCATAGGCAAGTCACACAACTTGTGCAAGAATTCAGCTTGGGGAATTCCTTAGGGACATTCTAAGAGGTGTCTCTGGTGAAACTCCCATAACCTATCATTCACTACATTCACATTTACATTTTACTTTTCTTTCTCACCCTAGGAAATATGATCCCCTAATTCAGGCTCAAGCTCAAGAACTGACCCACTTACGACAGAAGATACAGGAAGGAAAAAGTATCTGTTATCTTTTCACCCAGCATGCAAAGAACACAGTCAAGTCTTTTGAGGGCCTCCTCAGAAGCACTGACATTGCCTACTCCCAGCGACAGAGATTATGTGAGCAACTGGCCCAAGGAAGCCAGCTGGCAGAGAGCCTTGCCAGCAAACTCACCACTGGTAAGTTGGCTTACAGGCTCTGAAGACCCTTAGCTCCTCTCAAAGTCCAAGCCTCACTTAAGAGTCCACGCCTCCACGAATTGAGCGACCTTTTAGCCAGATGTCTTGCTGTTTTGTGCCAGTCTCTGCCTACTGATAGTGATGCTATCAACTAGAAATACCTGGGGGCACTCACCTGGGCCTAAGGCAAGCCCCCACAGACATTTCCCCTTTTGGAGCGAATTTTGTGGCTGGACCAGCCCTTGTGGTTCTTATTATGATTGCAAGATGCACCTCAGCAACAACTATCAGGGAATTTTGAAAAAAACAAGGTTTATTACTGACAAGTCCTAGAGGGTACACGGCATGCCCAGGGCCACACAGCAAGGTCATGGGTAGAGAGAAAGCACAGGCCTGGGGTTCTGCTGTTATTAGGGTCAAGGGTGAGGTGCCTAGAGTTTTGCAGGTTCACTCTTTATTGGCAATTTTAAAACATAAGAGAGGGAGTTAAAGTGCTGGAAGGGAGATCAGGTGGTCAAACCTCAGTTATCTAAGTCAACCAGAGATCTCTAGAACAAAGGAAACTTCAGGGGTGGGGCAGCCTGCCTCTTTATCTAGTGTGCAGCTGGCAATGTGTTTATTCAAGATAACGGTCTTTGAAGTGGATGCCTCAGCTATCAAAAGCTTAATATCAGGCACTTGGGTTACAATAAAAAAAAAAAAAAGCCAACTATCAGGTACTTACGCTGCACTTGCTTTTCACTTCACATTCTGGGGACCATGCAATATCAGGACTTGCTGGGGGTGAGCCCAGTGGAGAAATACACAGGACTGAAGGTAACATTATTATAACTGCCTCCTTCATCACAGGCTTTTGGAGCAGGAGGCAGCAGCCATCAAATCACTTTTGGTTTTTAAGGATAATTGAAATACAATAAAATGACCCATTGTAGTGTCAGTTCTGTGAGTTTTGAAAAATGCATACAATGGTGTAAGCACCACCACAATCAAGATATAAAACAGTTCCATCACCCCTAAGTTCCCTTAGGGAACCCCTAAGTTCCCTTGTGCCTCTTTGTAGTCAACCATTTTCCCCAACCTCAGTCCTTGGCCACCACTGGGTCTTTTTTCTGTCCCTATAGATTTTCCATCTCCAGAATGTACCAGTAGTTTGTTTCTTTTTCATTGCTGAGGATTATTCCATTATAGGGATGTACCACTTTTTGTTTATCCATTCACCCACTGAAAGACATTTGGATTGTTTCCAGTCTTGGGCAATTATGAATAATAGCTATAAAGAATCACACCCAGGTTTTTGTGTGAAAATATGTTTTCACTTCACTTCGCTTGGGTAAATATCTAGGGGTGGGATTGCTGGGTTATATGGTAAGTGTATGTTTAACTTATAAGAAACTGCCAAACTGTTTTCCAGTGTGGCTATACCATTTCACATTCCCACTAGCAATGTGTGAGAGTTCCAATTGCTCCCCAGTACCAGCTCTTTTCAGGTGGTGGTTCTGTTGCTTTTTGTCTTTTTAGCAATTTTAATAGGTGTGTGGTTTAATTTGCATTTCCCTAATCACATGATTTTGAGGATCTTTTCGTGGGCCTATTGACCCTCCATATATCTTTGGTGAAGTGAGAGTTCAAACATTATATCCATTTTGAAGTTGAGTTGTTTGTTATTATTGAGTTTTGAGAGTTCTTTATACTTCTTGATACAAGTCCTTTATCAGGTATTTGATTTGCAAATATTTTCTCTCAGTCTGTGGCTTATCTTTTCACCCACTTAACAGTGTCTTTCAGAGAGCAGAATTTCTTAATTTTGATGAAATCAAACTTCGTGCCTTTGTAGTTATATCTAAGAACTCTTCACCTAAAACAAGTTCCTTCGTCTTTCCATATAAATTTTATAATCAGCTTGTCATTATCTGTAGAAAACACTGCTCGGATTTTGAGTGGCATTGCTTTGAATCCATGAAAAGTTTGAGGAGAATTGACATTCTTAATAATATTGAGTTTTCTAATTAATGATCATAGTGCCTTTCACAGGTTGAGAAAGTTCCTCTTTTTAAATTTATTCATATTTGAATGGACAAACAAACCTTCTATTTTTTGTTTTATGATAGTGACTGTGGACAACAGAAGAAATTATGTCTCCTAATGCAAACAGGAGTAGGCACAGTCTGACCAAGAAATGTTTCCAACTTATTTGAGGAAGTTCCTTTTCATTTCTTATTTGCTGAGAATTTTATTCTGAATAGATGTTGAATTTTTGTCAAATGTTTTTTATCAATTGAGAAGATTATATGTTTTTATTATGTTGAGTACTTTTAGATTGTACTCTGGACATTTTGAATATTATATCGTGACACCCTGAGTCCTGTTAAAATCCTTTGGAAGTGATTTTTTAGCAGGCAATCAATTCCATTAGGTTCAAACCGCAAGTTCTGTCTCACCTTCTGTGAGCAGTAGTTTCAATGTCAGTTCAGTGTTCAATGCCTTTCACGTGTTGTTTGGGTCAGTCCAGCAAATACGTCACTCAGGTTTAGTCTGGACTAGGTGGGTTTATATGATAATTCAGTTCTCCAATCCTTTGCCAGGATTCCTTGGCTCTGTTCCACACATGTTCAGTTTGGGGATGAGCCCTGGGACTTTTGTCATTTTCTAGACAGTTTTCCACTCTCTCCTTGCTCTAGTATTTCTTCCATTCTTTCCAGTTTCCAAGGGTTTGTTGTCCAAATTCCTCTGTTCAGAAAGATTGGGTTCTTTCAGAGATTTATCCTCTCACATTGTGCTTCAGTTTCACATGACTGGGGCTGCTTTAAGAGCAAGGCGGAGGGGCCGGTCCAGTGGCTTAGCGGTTGGGTACGAGTGCTCCACTACTGGCGGCCCAGGTTTGGATCCCGGGCACGCACCGACACACCACTTGTCCGGCCACGCTGAGGCAGCATCCCACATACAGCAACTAGAAGGATGTGCCGCTATGACATACAACTATCTACTGGGGCTTTGGGAAGAAAAAGGGAAAAAAAAGGAGGATTGGCAATAGATGTTAGCTCAGGGCCTGTCTTCCTCAGCAAAAAGAGGAGGATTGGCATGGATGTTAGCTCAGGGCTGATCTTCCTCACACAAAGAAAATAAATAAATAAAAATAAAAATGTTTTAAAAAAAAAAAGAGCAAGGCAGAAAGAAAATTGAGAAAGAAAAAAAAAGGGGAAACACTCTTCACATTTTTCAGACAAGAGGTCCCTTTTTCCTAGTTCTTTTGACCAGAGGGCTAGATTCTCTTTTGTGGTTTAGGTCCCTGCTCAGCTGCCTCTTCACAATACATTTCTGCAACTGGGCTGGTCTCTGGGTGGAGTCGGGAGAGAAAAGAAATGAAAAAGGAGGGCAGATTCTCTTCACATTCTCTGGCATGCAGAGGTCCCTTTGTCCAGTCACTTGGTTAGAAAGAGGTGGTTTCTCTTGAAGTTTTTGCTCCTCAGAGACTGCTGTGAGTTCTGTGTGAGAGCAGTAATGGGACACACAACCGTGGTCTATTAACTAGCCTTGTGGTGAAAATGAAGCTTAGAACTGGAGAAGTCCAGAAGGCAGCTAGGCAAGTAGCCTGTGGGCTGGGGAACAAAAGACATTTCAAACTTTTTGCCTTGACTCAGTAGCAGACGTGATGGTGATGATTCACCACACCAGGAACATACCGTCCAGTGTTGCTCAGAAAAGCCTGCCAGGCTACTTCTCTAAAGACACAACCTGAACCCTCCTGTAATTCTCCCAGAGCATTCTGAACAAACATGTAGAATATTATGTCTCTGATCACATAGGCTTTCATATTTGTAATATGTGAAATGAGACCTGCTCCATCTCTGACTAGCTCTTTCTATTTTCGGTTCACAGAAAATCATACTGATAAGAAGGATGAAGATGGACAGGAGCCCCTGGTACCCAGGTAACTGTGAATAATGAAAGGGCTGATAATGGAATAGTGAAATCTAGAGAGGATTCCAGAACTAGAGATCAAAAGGCCAAAGGTCCCAGATCCAGGAAGAAACAGAAATTGCTGATTGTACCTATTTCAAATTCATTCATCATACAATAATGTGTCCTTATAAACAATGTTTTCTATTCTCTTTGCAGTTCTTGTACTGGTTACCATTTCCTAGTAATTCTTCAAGTTTAGTTAAACAGAGTCAGTCTGACCTAAAGGTAAACTAGCCAGAGATCCCTAGTTTCTGTAGTCTATAAACCTGTATGGTTAAAGACCAAAGTGAGATTCCTATCTGGTTTCTACACAGTTGTCCTGAGGTATGTTGGCAGATGTTTCATAGCCAGAAAGTTATCTTGAAAAATAAATTCAACCCATATCAAATATTTAGAGAGAGAGGTCTAAAAGCTGCAAGAGCCCTAAGAGGCTACATTATCTCAGGAGCCAGTATTCAATGGACTGCATCATATAATATTAAATAAAATTTCTCTACAGCATTTTAAAGCCAATATTATAGGTCTCTGTGTGCCCTGTGTGTCATTGGTATATTTTAGAGGAGTAATTCAGTCTACTTCCTCATCCACATGTTATGAGGTCAGTAGACTGAGCACCTACTGCCCTCTCCTCCACCCCAACTCTAGACACACTGTAACCCCAGTCAGAAGTGGATTGTTATATTTTCTCTCTGATAGGATGGCCCCTTTGGTTTCTGGTGCCTCTTCTATGAGCTTCAGATCAGGACCAGCTGTGAAGCTGTGGTTCCAAGTTGCCTTAGTTTAATCTCTTGTTTTGCCTACCTGCAATCCCCCCCTTTCCTGCCCCCAGGCTCAGCAGGGGGCTCCAGGAGGAAGAACTGAATCAAGTCCTGGACAACTCACTAGATGAACGGTATTTGACTCATTCCTGTCGCCATGACTCCCAGCAGCCTCCCAGCAGCAACGCCTTACTGTTTGATGCACAAGAAGCCAGCTCTGCTGTGGATGTAGTCAGTGAGTACTCCCATTATAAAGAGAATAAAACCCCAACAACCAGAAAACTGGAGAATAAAGCTCCAGTAGCTTCTACATGCTCACCACATCTGTCTAGGCTGAGTGAGATCATCTCTGCAGGTAGGCCCTAAAGATTAACCTTGAAAAAGTGATTAGGCTGAGCACACCTATGGGACGAAGTTTCAAGTACAGGTCCCTGGTGGGTCAGGTAATTTGCATTGTTTCTGGTCCATACCTCACCTCAGTCACTCTGGCCCCCATTGACATATGCAAGCTGATGGACTCCAGGCGAGCCACAGTGGAGACAGTGAAGGGATCATGGCAAACTCTCTGCCACTACTTCAGCATTTGCACAGAATCTGTCTAACAGATCTCCTTCTTTAAGATGAAGCATCTTAGCTTTCCTGAAATGTTCTTGCCAATTACAGTTCCTGAATAGTGTCCCTTAAGCTTTACTCACTATCCAAGAATATTGGCAGTCTTGCCCATATTTTCAGAGGTGCAATTATCATGGTTCCTGCGTTCAAGGTCCAATCTCCATCTCCCCTCAGTGGCTTGCCTCCCCATAAGCTTCGATTTTAGTACCAAAACATCAGGTGGTTTCCCTAAAGACAAGGCTCTGATCTTGGCAACCCTTGGGTAAATGGCCAGGGTTCTCATCTTTTCTGTAGCACCACAGCTTTCTTTTTTTTTTTTAATGTTTGTGGGTCTAGTCTCAGTGCTGTAATCTAACCTAAATCAACAACCAGAATATCTACTAGAGAAAAGGTCGAATCTAGGAGCAGTGCCACTAGCACGCCTCTTTCCAAAAACCCACCCAAACTAGCCAAAACACCAAGCCAAACCAAAATACCTTCAGATTGGCAAAAATATTTACAAACCTGCAAAATATCTTCAGTCTATCGCCCATACTCCAGACTTAATGTTTACTGAATTCTTGCTGAGTGCAGTGCTCACCTCAATAGACATCCCTGCATGAGATCTGTTAGGTGTCAGTCAAGAAAGATCACCTGAAATTACTTTTACCTTCTTATGCCTATGTTGCTTTTGCTTTCAAGGACCCTTCTGAATAGGACTGTCCTCAGACTAATGGAACCACTTTGCCTGATGGCTCAGAGAGCTGGAAGTACCTAGGAATTTATATCAATCCCACAGCACCAATGACTCTACCTGTAAAGCCTGTACACATGATTGACAGGTGCAGGCATACAAAAGCCCAGCTACTTGACTTGAGGGAGCCTTTGTGGTGAACTAGCTTTGGGAAAAGGGAATTCAGAGGCAAACTTTATAAAGGCCCAAGTAGATAAACAGAAGGAAATTTTTGCTTTGGAAGGCCAATTGAGAAAGGAAATGATTTACCTGAGACCGTGGGAAGGAAAATTAAAATCTTTAGGTCCAATAGGAAAGAAGCGTATGATGGGAGAGCTAGAGAAAAACAAAGAGAACTATGGGAAATGGGACTGGTCTACTAAGTAGCTTTAAAACATGCTATCATATTATAAGAACTGATAAAGTTTTGCCTAACACAAATGCCTAGACTCCACATCTAGAGATTCTGATTTAAATGGTTTCACATGTGTTTGGGGCATTAGTAGTTTTTAAAAGCTCCCAAGTGGTTCAAATATGTGGCTAGAAATGAGAATGACCATCAGTCTACTAAGATCTCAGGTCACCAATATAGAAGTATCCCAAATGTGTGGCTTCTTCATAGGAAAGGCTGAACACCAGCCATTGATGGAATCTGTACTCCTCTCTCAACAGTCTTGTTTGTATAGCATGGGAAAAAAAGAAGAGAAAAAGAGGTAGATGGATAGATTTGATCTATAACCTGTCTATGAAGAGTAGAGTTTCTCCAACTTTTTTGACCACAAGACACAGTGAGAAACATACAATTCTTTGTGACCCACTATGTTAAAAAAAAAAAAAAAAAAGCCCTTACTACACGTAATGGGTCCTACCTAGTATTTTCTTTTCTGATTCTGTAGATAAAACCTGTAGTAAACAGTCCACTGTATTGATTTCACAACCCACTACTAGTTCAGAATTGCGATATGAAAAATTTCACTTTTGATTAGCCTCTTTATTAAGCAAAATTCCAAAAGACAGTGTGGGGAGGAAAACTTTTCCTCTATTCACTTACGTTTGAATGATCCAGGGCCTTTGAATTAACTGACAATAGATAAACAGGAGAAAAGACAAAGTTTATTTACACATGCAAGTGGGAGTTGCTTAATAAAGAATAACTCCCTGAAAACCCAAAGGTAAAGGTTTATATACCAACTTAGCAAAGGGGGGCAGGTTTAGGGCTTCAGTGCAAAGCATGGAAAATTTTATTAGGCTTTTTGATGTTATTGGCAATGGACAGTCTGTCTCCATGACAGCTGAATTCGCAGGAACCTCCCTTGGAAGGGAGGATCATGGCATATGTATTTTGGGGAGGCTCTGTTTTAGTCAAATAAAGGAAGTCCAAATAAGGTTGCAAATGTTTTAACCTTAAAATAATCTTTATGCCAAATCTGTGATACCTTCAAGAGCTTTAAGATCTTACTCTCCTCAAGAGAATATAACAGCAACAAAATCTAAAACCTTAAGGAAAACAGATTTTGTATTTATACTTGCCTTCTCTACACTGGAGCGAAATACTTAAAAAAATTCTTTCCCCAAGAAGCAGTTTGGAAAGAATTAGGTGATGAGGACCACCTAGGAATGAGAAATTAGTATTTTTTCAATTTTTACTTAGGAACTGTGTTAGTTGATCTATTGGAAATATTCCTAGAAATGTCCCTAACTAGAAACCTGATGTGGAATTAACTTTATAGAATGTTGGTCTCCACACGGTGTAAATGAATCAGACCAAGGTTTAAATTTTTGCTTGTTATTTACTAATTTCCCTTTTTCTCTTTCTGATAATTCCTTTCTTTCTTCCTAATCTCTTTAGAAAAACACTTACAAGAGACTTTCTGTAAAGTCTTATTCCTGTCCCAGCCACGGTACCCAGCAGCCTCTAGAGCCTGTTGACTTCTTCCTGGTTGGAGCCTTTCCTCTCCTTTCTTTTAAACTCTGTGATGTAGTAAAAAAGGCTTGAGGCCTGCATTCTAGTCCCAGGTTTTTCATTTACAGGTCATGTGGCTTTAACTAGTATTTAGCCTCTTGACGCCTTTGTTTCCTCGTGGCCAAAGATGGAATTGTGCTTGCATAATAAATAGGTTCTGGTACCAATTTCAACGTGGGGAGGTATCCACACGTTGTACCAATATGCAATTTTCGGAATACCAGCTGGGTGTCCTACAGTTCAACTCAATTCTGACACTATCTACCCAGAGATAGCATCAGATTCCACAGATTAAGGGTTCCGTCCTACAAGACTGCACCACCACCACTGCCCCCACCACTTCAGAGGCCAGTCGCAGTCCAGGTTGTTACCTGTACTTCTGACCGACTGGCTATAAATCAGAGGTTCTCAAGACCCCCTCCTCGTGTTCCATTAATTTGCTAGAGCAGCTCACAGAACTAAGAGAAACATTTTACTTACTAGATTACTAGTTTATTATAAAAGGATATAACTCAAGAATAGTCAGACAGAAGAAATGCATAGAGCAAGGCATGGGGAAAGGGTGTGGAGCCTCCATGCCCTCTCTGAGCACACCACTCTCCCAGCACCTCCGCATTTCATCGACCCGGAAGTTCTCCCAACCGCATCCTTTTGGGTTTTTATGGAGGCTTCATTATATAGACATGATTGATTAAATCATTGGCCACTGGGGATTGAACTGAGTCTCCAGCCTCTCTCCCCTCCCTGGAGGTCAAGGGGTGGGACTGGAGTTCCAATCCTCTAACCACGTTTGGCTGTCCTGGCAACCAGCTCTCATCTTTAGGTGCTTTCCAAAAGTCACCTCATTAACATCAAAAAAGACACTTTTTATCACTCTCATCACTTAGGAAATTCCAAGGGTTTTAGGAGCTCTGTGCCAGAAACTGGATGAAGACCAAATATATATTTTTTATTATAAATCACAATATCACAGATTGTGTCTGAGGACCTTGATGGTTTTCACATTCTAGGGCTCTTCCCTTGGCACCCCTCCTATTTCAAAGGAATAGGACAGGGGGCTGGCCCGGTGGCGTAGTGGTTAA